CATCCAAAAAAAAATTTACATACTAAAACTTTGTTTTGGCGTAATATAATAATATATAGTTTGAACAATATTTTAATGTACTTATACTTTATTTTTCAACTAAAACTCAAAATCATTATTTGCCTACGTTGCTCAACCTCTTTCTCTCTCGCCCTGACCTCGGCCCTCGCTCTCACCTCTCCGTCTCCGTCTTCTCTAAGCCTCGGTCTCAACCTTCTCTTTCACCTCCGCCTCGCCTTATCTCTCACCTCCGTCAGCCCTAATCTCTTGCCCACTCTCTATCCTCAAGTTTCATCAAATCTTATGATTTTTTTAATCCGCCCTCTCTAACTTGTCTCTCTTTCTTTTTCTGATTTCGTAATCTTGCCTCCGCCTATACTTTGACAGCCTCATCAGCTACTCTTGGTGCATCCACGAAGGAAAATGGAATATGAATAGGAATAGAGAAGATAGAAGGGAGGACGGAAGATGGAAGATGGATGAAGACGACGGAATTAAATCATCGCGTACATGATAGGGGTTTACTCTTAGGATGTGAATTTTTCAGATAATATTTTATTTTTAAAAAATTATATATAAACAAAATAAAAATAAAACCAAAACTTACCACTATAATATCACATATTAATTTATTACTAGTTATTAAATTATTGTTTATAGTAAAAGCACTCTCAAGATCATAGAGGATTGATATAAAGTGGTTAGAAAGGAAAAAAAAGACACTAACAAATGAAATGATACTAACCAATAATCTAACTGGTGAGCTTTTAATTTTGATAATATAAATAAAAGAAATCTAACTGCAACTATCATTATCCATGAGTGCCCCTAATTTATAACCCAAAATTGATATTCTACCATAAATAAAAAAAAAAGGGCTAATACAAAGAGTAAAACAAGTGTCGAAGTGGGTGCATTGTAATCATTGAAGTGCATAGCCACAAAGTGGTGGATTTAAAATTAAAACAAAAGCTTGCAACAAACAAAAATTCAGGTTTGATAAAAAAAACAAGTAATATAGAGACAATTCGGTCCATTTTTTAGTGAAAAACCTTGGGTGGAAAAGAAGGGCAAATTTCTTGAGAAAAAAATCTAGGCGAAGGGAAGAAGTGTAGAGTCGAGAGTGGATGAAATGTAGAAAACACCCCTCTTTATATAGACAAATAAAATTGGTAGGTTGAAGAGAAAAACAAAAAGGTGACGAGTGAACGTACAACTATATTATTATTTTACTGCAGCAGAAAAATGGTGAAAAACAACAGGAAAATAAAATGCTTTCTTTTTTCACAGTTTTTTCAGTGATATTCTTAATTTTCTTGGCATGAAATGCAGAATGCAGCTTAAATGGTAGAAAATGGCGTTTCATCATTAATCATCCCACACACATCTTGGCTTTTTTTTTCTCTTTTGAAATTCAGGCCTCTTTTGCTTTTTATCTTTTTGTTTGTATATGTTTTTTGCAACAAATTGTGTGTTTTGATCCAACTCGGTAGTTGGCCGAGTCCAAGGAATCGGTCGACGTCTTGAGTCAATCTAGTACGAGAATTCCTACACAAGGGAGCAAACACTCCAATGCTCAAATTAGTTTTGAATTTGATTTGGTAGCAAGATCGGTACTTAGTATTAGAGTGCAGTCTCTTACTTGTAAGTTTGGGAATATTGTTGTTGTAGTTTGGCAGTGGGTATACCGAATCGGAGATAGTTGAAGGCAGATACACCTAATTGCTGGTCGTTTAAACACTAATCAAAGGACTTCTGACGACGAGTTCTTTTCGGGTCGCCTCTTCCATCGTTACAGTCCGGACCGAAACTGTGGGTTCCGACCCTTTCCCTCCCACACGGAATGGTTTTGATATCTCTATCCAATTTAGTATATCGATTTCTAAACAAGTTATATGCAAAGTAGACACGCTCAAATATTATTGTCTTAATTATAATTAAGCTTCAATTGAGAGTAGATTATTATTATGCATATTCTTGCTACACCATCTAATTGATTTCAGGTATATAACCGTTAATTTTAGAAGAAAGAAAATACAGAACTAAAGCTTCATTTATGTATTTATACTAATATAATCTCAAATGTTGTAATTCAAATAATATAAAAAATAAAAATAGGATATTAGAGAGTGTAAAACAAAATATTTTTTATAAAGAGTGGCGTACAACAAAATGGGTATGGAGAAAAGAAAACAAAATCAAATCAAAAGCAGGGGTAGAGAAAAGGCAGCAAGATACAGAGACAAATTAAACATGCGATAAAGAAAAGGATTCAATTAAAATGATAGGTAATTGAATGAGGGGAGGAAAGTGACCGTTGGGCTCAACAAAATATTATTAAAGAGGAGAGAATCAGTCTGATTCACAATCTTATAAAACTTTCTCTTGCATGCATCAAAATTTTCTGTACAATAAAAACAAGCAGAAGAAGAAACCCAAAAATGGAATATGCAATTTTATGAGAGAGACAAGGAATTCTTCGAAAAGAAGTGTGTAAAAAAAATGAAAAGAGAACCAACGCTTTATAAAACCTGCAATTTGAAAATACACGAATTAGGGAAGAAAGGATTGAAAAAAGATTTGCATAGCTACCAATTTAGGGTTTTGATGATCTTTAGATACAAAAGAAATTGGATACGGTGAAGATCTTGGTAGATTGTGCAAGATTTTTGCCACAAGAAAAAAAAAAAAAAAGATTTTATCACACACACATACTGTTAAATTGTTAAGAATGAAGAATGCTTTTTTGTAATTTACAGATTTTTCAGGTTCTTCTTCAGTGTATAAAATCTACAACGCAGCTTCCAATACACTTAGAAATGGCGTTTAATTTATTAGTACCGTATGTTTTTTTTTTTTCCTTCTAAGTCTACAACAAGTTATAAGCAAAAAGCAAAGGGTAGTGACGGCTAGTGAAGTTCAAGAATCCTTCCAATTGGATTTTGGGTCACGAAGACGAACAAAAAGGGAAATCCATGGTCAAAAGTGTGGAGAGAGATAAAATTTTAAAGGAAAAATGTTGAGAAGATAAGGCTACCAAAGTCATCAAAGTATAAACTTAATTAATTTTACTCGAAGTTTCTATTATTCCTTTTTTAAGTTTAATGTGGTATCAGCCAATTATTCTTGGTTTGATAATGGTAGGTATTTTGCTTTTTTTACTTTTCTGTATTAAAGATTAAGCGAACCACAAACTAATCAATAACTTTCAAGATTTATATTTACTGATGAGGTAACACTTTAATTTCCCTCAAAGTATACATGTGCCATCACTTTCAAGTAATATTATATGAGGTGGAAGTTCTTATCTTGGAGCTGATAGATATGAAATTAGTCTCCGTTGGAAGAGGGTAGAGGAAATAGTTGTTCAAGAAATTTGTAAAAGGCTAAAAGATGATGGGAATTTTATTCGCATTACTTTATTCTATGTATTTCCACTCATTTTAAAATTTTAATGCATGTTTATGTAATTAAATGATTTACTTCCTTTAATTTTAATGTCGTATGAAACTCGTCTTTATAAAAATTCTAAATAGACGAAGAAATAAATGAAAATGCAAATGAAGAACTATAATTCACAATCATAATTATTGGGTGCACAATGAATGATAATATTGATTATATACTATCTAAAGTAATTAAATGCTTTTGATTTCTGTAAAAATATATATATATATATATATATATATACATATATAAAAAAAATTAAAATATTAAAAATTAAATAAACGGTTATAGAGTGAATAGTATTAGTTTTATATTGTTGCTTCAATTATCATTTATTTCAAATTAGATATATAACAAATTGAAACAGAAGTATGAAAAATAAAAACAGGGCATTAAGAACCATCATATAAAATGCTAAATCCCTTTCTTTAAAAGAACTAATTATGTAGATCACCAATAGTATTCAAGATATTACAAAAGTTTATGTGACCTTCAAAAATTAAATAGATGGGTAAGAAGATGCATTTAATCCCAACCCCCAAATGAAGATGCATTTAATTAGTATTAATTTTATTCAAATTATTATTTTATGTATAAAGAATATTTTTCTGCTGACTCAAGAGGAGAGAGATAGGGAAAAAGATATTCACCTTCAGATAGATATAATTATCAATTAAGGGGATAAAGACATTCGTTATGTCAATTCCTCAAGCTGAAAATTAGATCCAAGTAATAAATAATTTTTTTTATGATAAACCATCAATTAACCCAAAAACTTAAACGAATAAGTTATGGTACATTTAATAATTTAGGTCTATCTAAAAAGTAGAGAGATTAACAATAAAAATGAAAAAAAAAAGACAACAATAGTAGGAGAAAAAAGTAGTTATAGATTGAATTAATGATGTAATGAAAGAGAGAGAATCTTAGAGGAAAAGCGATAACGAGAATACCCGATAATATGAGTTATGGGATCACTTTTTAGAGGTATAAACATAAACATCCAAACAAATATTTCAAAAGTACAATAATTAACCGGAATATTTTCTAAGTTATATTGACTAGAGATGGCAACGGAGTGAGGTGGGATCGGGGGGGCCATCCCCATCCCCGTTCCGTTGTGGATTTTTTCCCTCATCCCCCTTCTCGTCCCCGAAATTCTTGGGGCGAGGACCGGACGGGATTCCCTAATCAAGGATGGGTTCCTCGTCCTTGATATATATTTATTTTTATTTTTTTATTTTTAATATTTTTTAGAAAGTTTATAAATATTTTTAAAAACCCCTACTCGATGGCAGTAAATAGAGATCCCAAGTCCAACTAAGAATACTTGGTTTGACCGTGATTGGGTTGGGTATCCGTGGAGATTGGATTCCACGGATTTTTTTCTGCCATCCTTAATATTGACTAAATGAAACATTTAAAAAAAATAATAAAAAAAAAATTAATGAACTACACGGATTAGGGTATGTAAAAAACGTGTTACATTTTGTTTCCTAAAAGATCCCATATATGTGGACGGACGGATCTAGAGAGAGCACATTGACAAGTAGGTCCATTGTTTGGCGCCACCTCAGTTGCTCTTCTTCACTCCTCAACCCCAACCAGATATTGTTGGCGGTTACAGCTTCTCTCCCCTTTTTCTCCCATCTCCTTCAACCCAAGCATATGCCTCTCGCATCTTTTTCTTATCCCTTCTCCATTTTCAATTTTAATTTCAGTTCCCTCTGCAAAATTCTCACACTCCCTCTCTCTGCTGTCAACAATGGCGCAGGCGACGCCTGTGCTTCACCATAACCACCATTTCCCTCTCTCCTTCACTTCCAAAACCTTGTATTTTCCACCTTGCCTCACTAGACCTCTCCTCTCTCTCCCTTCCTCTCACTTCTCTTCGTCTTCTTCCTATGCTGCTGCTTCTTCCTCTTCTCGTTCCCTGCATATACCTCGGGTCTCCACAGCTCCGCTTGAGTACGCGCCACCAGCTCCGGAATATGGTTTCCAACAGGAGATTCTTCGGCTGAGAACTCTTTGTGCTAAGCTCTCTGCTCGGAAGAGCGTCAAGGAGAAGTTGAAAGTGATTGACCGTGATTCCAGAGTGAAACAATTCTTCAATTCCCGCCGAAACTGGTTCTATAGGGTTTTTCCTGCGCTCAATTTGGAACTCTACGAGTGTTTCTTGCTCAAATGTTTGGTTGCGGCGGGGCAAGAACACGTGCTTAGTTTAGGGATTGAGTCTGTGGAGGGTGAATTTGAGACGGCGAGGGGTGTGGTGAAGCATGCGCTTTATTCTTTGGTGGACATGATTGAGAAGTTGGATGTAAATGGCAATGGTGGTGGTGAGAGCTATGGGAAGGGGGAAACGGTTATGGAGGAGGAAGAGTTTAGGGACTTGAAGAAGCTCTTGATGGATTTAGGAGAAATCGAAAAATTTTACGATTGCATTGGAGGAATCATCGGGTGAGTTCTCAATTATGGCCTAATTTACTTCAACTACAGCTGTCCTGTTCCAATATATGCTCGTCAAGCCTACCGATTTTTTCTGCTTTACATGTGAAATTTACATTTTATCATTCCAAGTTTTGGCCGTCACCGGTTCATGAAGGATGGATTAAAATTGCAGTTCTTTTTAGACTCGTGTCAATTAGATTGAAATCACGGAACTGGTGGTTTGCCTTTCTTCCATTCATTAATAGTCCTGTTCAAATAGTGATCTTTCATTAAAAGAAAAAAAAATGGTGTTCAGGCCTAGATAAGAATAAATATCTTTTAAATGGTTTGTTCTTCTTGAATTTTCAATATTGGAGCTCATTAAAGATGTACTCATCACAATGTTGGAGCTAAACCTTTAGTTATTGCTGAAAAATATTGGGAGAAATTGAATGCGCATTAGCCAGGGAAGAATTTCTAATACTGTTGCAATGTCAAAATAACTTGGCAGATATAAATCACTATTTTGAAATGAATGCTCTTATGCAGGTATCAGATTAAAGTTCTAGAGCTTCTTACCTGTTCAAAACCTGAAAGATATCCAAAGAATTGGTCTGGACAAAAAAATCAAGCAATGGAATGTGAATTTTTGGAGATTCATTCACCCAATGGACCTGATCTTTCTCAAAATATAGATTATGCATCTCAAGCAGCATTGTGGGGAATTGAGGTTAACAGCTGGGGCAATAGTTTTTAAGACAAAAATAATAAACGAAATATATTGAACTGTATTTTATAAGATTTTATTCCTTTTCAGAGTTTACCCGAGTTGGGTGAGATTTATCCTTTGGGAGGTGCTGCTGATAGGCTTGGTTTGGTAGATCCTGAAACAGGAGAGTGTCTTCCTGCTGCAATGCTTTCTTATTGTGGTAGGACTTTATTGGAAGGTCTTATAAGAGATCTTCAGGTATCTGGTCTGATTGATTCAAATAATTAATAGGCATTTAATGATTGATTGGAAATGATCGGATTCATATGCATTTAATTTTTCAACTTTTTTATCCAAGGCTAGAGAATTCTTGTACAACAAGATCTATGGGAAGCAATGTATTACACCTGTCGCAATCATGACAAGTTCAGCAAAGAATAACCACAAAAGGATCATGTCTCTTTGTGAAAGACTTGGATGGTTTGGAAGGGGTCGGTCAAATTTCCAACTCTTTGAACAGGTTTATTTATGAGAAATTTTCAGATAAAAGTCATACTAATTCTAATGTGGAAAGATCAAATTTCTCACTTTTAATTTCCTTTTATTTTTGAAATTCTAAAGGTCGTTAACTCTTACATTTCTTGTTTACTGCATGTTTGCAGCCTCTGGTTCCTGCCATTGGTGCAGATGATGGATTATGGTTAGTTACAAAACCTTTTGCTCCTATATGCAAGCCTGGTGGTCATGGTGTTATATGGAAGCTTGCACGTGATAAAGGTATCTTCAAGTGGTTTTATGATCATGGAAGAAAAGGTGCTACGGTTAGGCAAGTAAGGTAAGATATAGTTATTGTGAGTTAAATTACTTAATTATGTATAACTGGTGCCTTATACTTGATGTAGACTCTAATGACCTTGTAGTAATGTCGTGGCAGCTACAGATCTGACCCTATTGGCCTTGTCTGGAATTGGATTGCGGAACAAAAAGGTAAGCTTGAAGCTAGAACAACAAATATACTTCTCATTCCAGTTTTGCGAGTGGTAGTCAACTGTGTTTGATGTGGAGCTTACGATCATGTCCTAATAAGATACTTGCTAGAGGATTAGCCTCAACTTTTCGCTCAAAACTTCATTTCTATGCAAGGTGGTGCTACTCTGTTGGCCTATTAAAGCCTGTGGATGGCTTTTGATGTCACCTCATAGCATAAGTTGTATGCACAATATGGTGCATGAATTTGCACCGTTGGATTCTGTATATAAGTTTGATATCTATAGACTTGCATTAACGCATCTCAAACGTGATTTTAGTTCTGCAATTCTAAGTGCTAATTCTTTGAATTGTCTAGTTATCATACTCATAAATGTTGGAATTCTTTAACTGTCTTTTAACTATATATGACATTATGCATAATGCACAATCAGTTATCTCTAAGATAATGTATGGTTATCAATTATCATTAATCTACAGTGCTGAGAAAGAATGAAATTTACGTCTCCTAATATCTTCTCGAACATTGTTTTATAAACCTGAATATTTTTTTTCTCCCCAAACTTATTGATTATTAACTTCTTGGAAAATTGTACCCTTCATTAGATTGAACTTATATGGAATTGAGACCTGGTCCATTTCTTCATATCCTGATCATCAAAATTTTATGGGTTGCAGAAACTAGGCTTTGCATCTTGTAAGAGGACTGCAGGCGCTACAGAAGGAATCAATGTTCTGATTGAGAAGAAGAATCTTGATGGGATGTGGGAATACGGTTTGTCATGCATTGAGTACACTGAGTTTGACAAGTATGGGATCACAGAAGGACCTAGTTCCACAGTCAGGTGGATATCTTCTATCTGTTCAAATCTTTTTGATCTTTTAGTCTAATTCAATTTTATTAATTTAACATTTTTATGGGGGAGGGGTAACTGAGCAGAAGACTACAATCCTTGTGTGTAAGTATATAATTCTTTGGAAATTTTAAAGAATTTACTGCAAAGAATTGGTCACCAAGTGAATAATTTCAACACCCTCTGGCAGTGTGTCATATTCTCAATTTCTTTTAAGTCTCAAAGATATTATTAATTATCAATTTGGAAGTCCTCAATGATGCACCCATGATGTCAACATTTTGGTGGCCATTGTTCTACATTGGAGCTTGCGCTTGATATTAGTTCTTTGGTTATCTCTTAACGAAATAATGTATAGGTCAGAATAAGCTAACCTTGTTTATTTGTTCTAGTCTGCAGGAGCCATTCCCTGCCAATACAAACATCTTATACGTGGATTTACATTCTGTGGAGTCTGTGGTGTCAACTAATAGTGAAAAGAGTTTGCCAGGAATGGTGCTAAATTTAAAAAAGCCTGTTACATATCTTGACCATTTTGGAAGAAAGCATAGGTATGTGATTCAACGAATTGTTGGTTCTTAAGTTGTTACTTGACATATTTTACTTGATCAAATGTAAACTGCAAAGTTTTAATGTCAGAATTACTTTATGCAATGATTGCATCATTCCATCTTCATGATAAACTCATTTCTCTTTTGTGCACCGTAATAGTGTTCCTGGAGGTCGACTAGAATGCACAATGCAAAACATTGCTGATAGCTTCTTTAAAACAAGTTCATCTCGATGTTATAACGATGTAGAAGGTATTGATGCTACCTTTTTGTTTGATTGTAAATGTAAACATCATTATCTATCGTCTGTCATTTTCATTCATGATATGGGCATATATCACCAGACATACTGGGGACTTTCATTGTGTACAATGAGCGAAGAAGGGTCACATCCTCGGCTAAAAGGAAAAGAAAGCAGGACAGTGCGTCCCTACACCAGGTAATACTTTCTAGTTGGTTGTTTATCCAAAAAACTTTCATTTCTACACCAGGTAATGAAAGTTTCTTATCCAAAAAAAAAAAATTAGTTGGTTGTTTATGTGATGATCTTTTTAACATTGAGATTAGATTGAAAGTTTCCTGCTAGATGATTAACTCTTCATGCAATAGTGTGTACCTGGACAACTCTTGATATCCTAATCTGTGTAACCAAGTTCTGAATATTCCTGGGGGAGAGTGGCATGAAATATGTTTGAAATTTCCTAAGAGATAAATGATTGAACCTGATGTTCGCTCTCTCTCTATAATTCACATGCTGAATTTTTTAATTTGTGCAGACTCCAGATGGTTCGCTTTTGGATATCTTGAGAAATGCACGTGATCTTCTATCACCATGTAATATTGAACTTCCTGTGGTATGTCATATTAATTTCAAACTAGCGAACAGTATTTTACTGTGGGTATTAGGATGTACTCTTAATTTTGTAGATTAACCTTTAAAAACTGTTTTCTACTTTTAAAAATGATTAAGAAAGATATCTTTTTCTCTTGTGTTTTCATTTATTAGTTTAGAAAAAAATAATTAATAATAACAGTAAATTTTATCAAGTTCTCTCCATAAAAAAAAATTGTCACTACTTTTAAACATGTCTTCTAAATATACCCTAAAATTTCGTTACTCTTTCTTTCTGCTTGCAAGGTTTGAATACCTTCTCCTATTTCTGTTCTTGATTAACTAATTTTCTTATTGCAGGTTGAAGGTAACAACAAATATGTTGATTCTGGGCCACCATATCTCATCCTTCTACATCCTGCACTTGGCCCACTTTGGGAGGTTGCTAGACAGAAGGTATGTTTCCAGTTTTCGATTATTACTAACATCATTGTCTATGAGTGTATCCCTACTCTCTCCCTGTAATGATATCGCCTACTTATACTTTGCCCTCAACTGTAATTTTGAGGTTTACCTGCAGTTCTAAGTGTAGTTTTATGTTTGTGAAATTATAGTACTATTGAGATATGTAAATGATCTTACCTGGTTTGGGTAGATATAGTTTTCAGTTGCATATTTCACAGGTAGTTGTAACCATTATACGATATATCATGTCTCAGTTCTCTGGAGGTTCAATATCAGAGGGCTCTGAATTGCAAGTTGAGGTTGCGGAGTTCCTGTGGAGGAATGTTCAGGTATGATACTCAAATCTAGCTGGGGACGGATTGTCCCTACACAAGTCTAACATATGTTCTTGCACACCAAGAACATGCACTTGCGAAGTGAATTAATGAAGCTGATCTAGTTCCTCCGGTTCCAGCTTGATGGGAGTCTGATTGTACTGGCTGAAAATGTCATGGGCTCATTGAAGATTGATGAAAACGGTGAATCATTAATCCACTATGGACAAAGGTCTTTATGCTTTTTGCACTAAAATTTATTTTGTTTGACAATTATTGTTTTGGTTCTGAGCGTGTTCATCTGGTTAGGTGTGGAAGATGTAAATTGGAGAATGTCAAGGTGCTGAATAAAGGAATTGTCTGGAATGCTGAAGACAATATTTACTGGAAGCTCGAGGTGCAGCGGTCTGAGGGATGCAAGATCATTTTGCATGGAAATGCTGAATTTGAGGCCATGAATGTTGTTTTACAGGTTTGGTTCTATATGAATTACAACATTTCATTCTCATAAACTGTAGAACTGACAAAATTACTTATTGGAGGAACTGGGCGTTTACTAAGACCTGATTACAAACCCATACAAGATTCAGAGAACTTTCTATAGATTGAATAATCCAGCCGTCTACTTTAGTGACTGTCAAACGTGAATATCGGATCATTTAAAATGAACCAGAGTGGTTGAAGTTAAATACCAAGCACATTTTGAATTTTCATGTTCATGTTCTGCAGGGTAATCATGTATTTGAAGTTCCAGATGGCTACAAACTGAAAATAGCACCAGGAACTTCAGGTGGATTCTATTAGCTTTGTAATTTTTCGCAAATAGCTGTTTTTTCACTCTTAAGAATAAAGCGAAAGAGATGCATTAGATGTCACCTTTTTCATAAGTTGGGTACGCAATATCATGCTCATTCTTGATTTTTCCAACTATTCAGGTTTTGAAGCTCAGTTAGATCCCATTGAGCTTGATAAGGTGGATACCGGAACTTGGTGCTGGAACTACAAAATACAGGATTCTCATATCAAGCTGGATTATGTGGAGCTATAGGTTGCCGATGAAATAACTTCACTATGCCCTTTGTGAATGCTTGTTCACAGATGGTCTTCAGAATAATCAAGCTGTGCAGATTGGTTTGGTTAAACAGAAGTTAACCACTTTCATTCTTCCACACCCCCACCCCCAAAAAAATCTCCAATTTTTTTTGTATATTCCTGTAAATTAAATGTAAAGATATAGATGTTGAGTAATGAAGTTGTTTGCATCGGATTCCATGATGAAATTGAAAGCTCCATTCTTCATGAATTATTCAAGTATTTGTGTTGAACTTGCAATTATCTGCTAACATACTTCAAAAGTATATGTAGTTCATTAAGAAACTCATAATGTGGCCTCTTCTCTTAGTCCAGGCGTGTTCAATTATAAGTTCTTGTTAAGCTGCTGCTTATCCTTTCTCCTCATCTCGTCTCTTCCCCCAAATTTATGGAAATCTTGCGTTACACTTTCATTTTTCATCGTAGAGAAAACAGCAGTTGAAAACGGAGCTTCACGAGGAACCAGCTAAAAGAACACCCATGGTTTCTAAAAGTAGCTAGAAAGTGGTCCACAACTTGATGAGAAGATCATGGGCTGAAACACGGAGTAAAGAAAGAAAGCTAACAAAATTTGTTCGCAACCTTCTCAATGGAAGGAGGTGAAAAAAGGAGAGGTAAAAAGAAGATTTATTGGTGAGGTCAATCTTTCAATCAACAAACCAAAAAAACCTGTAAATTCATCTTTAGAGTTTGCACAAATATTTACTTCTGCAGTATTTTATCTACATTGTCCCATTCAACATGGCTGAGATTGAAAGCAGCATCTGTTAAGCAGTCTAAGCAATGCATCAGCTTTCCTTCGAGCCTTCAGTGATCCATCTGCTGCCAAGCTCTGCAGAGAAGGGATACTTCGAGGATTTATCAACAGACGCCTCGCAACTTCCTCTCCTCCATCTTTGCAGAGCCCCAATAAGAGTGTAATTGAACTCTCTTTCCCTTTTGGAGATCCAAATCTTAAAAGATCAATGAGCAGGGGCACCAAAACTCTGCTCTTTCTTATCTCCTGCAGCCCTTCAGAGCAACCCAAAACCAGAGAGAGCGCCTGCAAGGCGTCATCTGTGATGCCTGCCTTGTCATCCGTCAGCAAGTTGATCAGTAATGGCACTGCCCCAGCGACTACAATACTGGCTTTGTTCGCATTGTAAAGGCCTAGATTGCAAAGTGCGGTGGCGGCGTCTCGTTTCCCAGCTGAATTGCCTTCTTTCAGTAGCCTCACCAGTGCTGGTATGGCTTTCGGACTCGCTCCTATTGTTACTTTAAACTCATCCACCATGGTTAGGCTAAATATTGTTGCTGCCGCATTTTCTCTTGCTTCCATTGTTTTCCCCGATTCTAAGATGTGTGTTATGTTGTCTATTGCCCCCGCTGCCACTATCAGGATCTTGTTGTTGTTGAAGATTGCGAGGTTGAACAATGCAGTCACAGCATTTTCTTCGATCCTTGGATCGCCGGATTTCAACAATGTCACTAGAAATGGTATCGCTCCTGCCTCTGCAATTATCCGTCGGTTATCCATTCCTGTTTTTGCTAGTAACCGGAGTTCATACGCCGCTTGTCTTTGAATTTCTGGTGACCCAGTTGCAAGTTTTCCCACCAGAAACTCGGCTGTCATTTTGACGGCGTCGGAAGCTGCTTTGGACACGGAAATGTGATCGACCGGCTCCTCTGAAAGGTATCTTTTGCTGTTGCTTCTTTCCAGATCAGAGTAAGAAAATGGTTTTGTTGATTCATTCAAATTAACGTTGTTTTCATGGCACCACTGTTGCATCAAACTTTTGAGTGCATAATTTGGTATGAGGGCCATATGAATTAGCCTCTGGTTACTCTTGGGACATACATGATGCCCTGAGTCAATCCATTGGGCTATCGAATTACGATCATAAGTATGACCCGATGATACAATTACAGGGTCTCTCATCAAATCTAGTGAAATGGGGCATCGAAAATCGTCTGGAATTGGAACCAACGATTGGGAAGAAGATGACTGATCTAAATGCTTGTGTGAGTGTTGAAACTGTAAGTTGAATTTTTCTCCAGCATTCTCATTTTCTTTCGTACTGAAGATCACTGATTTGGCATGCATAACTAGGGAAATGATATTATTTATATTTGAAACCACAATTAATCCACCTGTTCCTGCTTGCTTCAGAGCTTCTGCCTCTAGTTTTGAAATTTCTTCATCACAGTCCACTAGGCTTCTCAGCCCAACACTATTGAAAATCTCCTTGACTTTTCCCACTTCTGCCAAACCTTTGTTCTTGTAGTTTCTGTCCTTGTTGTTCATTAGTTGAAGAAGCTCTTCTCTTCTCCGAAGCTCTCGTGGATCGGCTGAAAACTCCAATCGCTTAGCTTGACTGTGAAGAAGCTCCACCTGTTCTCTTGTATCATCTGTTAATTTAAGCAAGCTGAGAGGTAATATATCAAGTACCCTCCCAATCTCCTTCACTAGCAGATAGAACTGATTGGAAATGAACTGAGTCTGTAGTAAGCTCCACAGACAGCTTCCTTCCTCACAGTCTTGTGTCAGAATCTTAACTCTTCGGATTACCGAAAAGAGTTCAGTGAGACAGAGAATGGAAGATGGAGGAAGTTGACAATTTGATTCCTGAACCTCTTCAAATAAGAAAGCAAGAAGCTTGATTCTTCTTCTCATGGTTGAGAGAATCCTAGCCTGTACAAAAGGAGCCTTCTCCTCAGAAGCAACTTCATTGGATAGGAGAATCAGTGATTGCAGCAGAGACCCAGAAGGCAAAAAGCCTGAAGCTGCCATCACTGGGGAAAGAGCAACATCCATGGCCATTCTCACTCCATGGATAGACTCTGTTCATAGTTTTTATCAACACTACATCATGTCAGACATAGATTACTAGGAGGAAAACTTCAAAACTCCTTCAAACGTGAAAAATAAAATATTCATTTGAAAAATTTCAATCTGATTTCATTGGGAAAGAGAAAAGATACAATACCAATTGGAAGGGGGGGGTTTTGGCAGTTTCTGTTTGTCTGGCAGAGTATGGACAATAGGAGAACTTCTGGGTTGCTGCCACTTGGAGCAATCTCCTGCCTCCTCAAAATAGTCAGATCCCAAATTAATTTTATATTTGAAGCCTATGCAACAGTTGCATCAAGTTAACCTCGTCAAACTTTGTGGGCAGTCTCCTCTCAAAGTCGTCTTGCAAATATTCAACTCTGTGTTTTTGGAAGTTTCTTAATAGGGAGTATTGAAAACTTAGCTCATAAGATCCCCAAACGATGGTCATTTTCTAAGAACAAAAAAATGGGTCAGCCCCTTTTTTTATAATCTATTTGGAATTTCAGATATATAGTCCAAAGCATGACTGCAATTAACAATTCAAATTGCTTCCATTTTTCTCTTGCTTGTTCTGAATGGTCATCACTGGTTTTTTTTACCATTTCCCCATATGCAGTGCTGATTTTGATGGCCATTGCTTACTTCTCTTGATAAATAAGACATATTACTGATCATTCCTTTGATTTTTGTCAAGGTCAGGAACATTGGCAAACATGCCTTTTTCTTAGTTATATTTTTCTACGAGATTGAATAATGAAAATAATTATGATTTGCTCATGTTACCTCTTTAGCTTTTGGTTCTTCTAAAAGGGTACAAGTTCTCTCTCATTGGAAAAAAGAAAAGTCACTACTGAATCAAACCTTTCTAGCCACTAGACTGGAACTTCTCCCTGGATCTATATGCAAGTGGGTTGACTATTCTCAATGTGGGCTTCATGAGAAAAGCCCAATTGCTTACTATTAGGGTCAGATCTGTCACAACCAGCCCAATATTGATAAACTCAGGCCCATGTGAAGCACAATTTCACTGCTCTCTCTCTCTCTCTCTCCATTATTAATTATTAAGGACCCTACAGAATTGTGAGCCGTACAAATGCAATCCAAACAATGGGGCCTACTTTAATGATCGAATTGGAAATTAGTGGAGGGGAGTAAGGCACCATAAAGAAGAGTTACAGTAAACTACTCCAAGACAGAGACCACAGTCCAACATCCCCAACCAAGTGAGCAACAAAATTTCAACCTTAATAAAAGGTTAGAGACTTGAGAGTGAAGAGAGAAAAAGAGAGAAATTATCATCTTCAATAATTATTGGGCCGGCCCATCTTTCCAAGCTCCGCCAATCAAAATCATTTCTCCAAATTCCCTCTTTTTCCATTGCCTAAACTGCAACAAAACCCCTTCTCTATCTCTCTCTCTTCAAACTCTGCTTTGAGGAAAACGACGACCATTTTTAAGCAAGTGGGTTCTGTGAATACCATTATCATCTTTGTCTCTTTCCCAATCCCCACCCCAACATTTTGTTTGATGCGACTGTTTTTATCCCTTCATAATTACCCCTTGTTGAATTATGGTTTTTGATCTTTCATTTCCTTTTTCTTGTTCTTTTCCTTCAGCCTTGCTGTTTTCATTTTATCCCCTTATAACCAATGTGAAAGCTTTTCATTATCTTCATTGAGAATGGCAGATCAAGCTGATACTCTTCTTCTTCTTCTTCTTCTTCTTCTTCTTCTTCTTCTTCTTCTTGCCTTTTGGGTGGGGAAATACCTTAACTTTCAAGAAAGCCCACATGAAATTAACCATATGAATATGTTGTTTCACCAAAAATAATGAAGGGAGAATAGAGAGAGGTTTTTATGAGAGATGTACAAAAGAAAACTTAGAGAGTACTAAAGGGGTAGGGCATTTTTTCTCTTTGCAGATTCCGAAACCATCATTTTCACAAATCACACCATTAAGTTGAAAACCAACTTTCTGGTTGAATGGGGTTTTTTTTTTCTTTTCTCTCTTTTACATTATTTTTCATTGGATTTTTTTCCCTTTTTTAAACTTTCTTCAGACAGATCATCTATATCTTACTTTATGTATCAAACATGATGTCTCATCCTAACTTAGGAACACAAATAATGCTACCCCATGTTCTTCAATTCCCACTTCTGAAAAACAATTAAAAGTGTTTCCTCTTTTTCCCTCTGAATTGTCTCTTTCAACCTTTAAATTCTGCACTTACTCACTCCCCCTCTACTCTTCAAACCCCATTTTCCATTCCATTTCCGGCCCCATCTCCCCCTTATTATTCTAAATTCTAATCTTAACCACACCATCATCTTATCTCTCACTTAATGCCCAAAGAATCACACTTTATATAGGACCACACCTTCAAACTTTCATATAATTTCTTTGAAAGATTTAAGACATATTGCCCCTCTCCTTCCTTCTTCACTCCGCGTTATATAAAGACGATGACATTATTTTTAGTCGACGTAGTATGAAAGAAGCAGCAGAGCAGGGATGAGAGGTTGCCATGAGACACGCTCTTCATCTTCTTGTGCAGCCTGCAAATTGCTGAAGAGACGATGCACGGCCACTTGCATATTCGCGCCGTATTTCCGGTCCGACGAGCCAAAGAAATTCGCCAAAGTTCACAAAGTGTTCGGGGCCAGCAACGTGAGCAAGATCCTGACGGAGGTGCCGGAGGAGCAGAGGGAGGACACGGTGAACTCGCTGGCTTATGAGGCAGAGGCGCGGCTGAGGGACCCTGTTTACGGCTGCATAGGCGCCATTGCTCTGTTGCAGACCAAAATGGTGGAGCTTCAGCATGATCTGGCCCTCGCCAGAGCTCGTCTCGCTCGTTATGCTAATAATTCTAATACTAATAACAACTCTTGTTCTTCTTCGGCTTCTTGTTCTTCCTCGGGTGTTTTGGACGATTGTGTTGTTAATATGTCTTATGGTGGATTCAGCATCGCTGGTCAGAGTCAGAGTTCATCTGAAATCACCCAATTGGGGTATTTATGTGACTTCACCCATTTTCCCTATCCATTTAAAGCTTGAACTTTCTCATCTCTCAGTTTCTGTGATCAGTTTCTTTTTGCCTTTTCGTTTCTGTATAAAGAATTCAATCCCAACTCAATTCCCATTGAGATTTTTCTTTTCCTTTTTATATTTGGTTGTCCTAGTCTCTACTCGATACAACATTAGAAAATTCGTGGGATTTTAATATCATAGATGGGTGATTGAAATCATTTGGCTATTATATTATAATTGAGAGAATTCTAATTTGAAGGATGAAGAATCAGCTATGAAACGAAGAAGTCTAGTGAAGAATGAGAAAGTTTACAGTTTCCCTTTTCATTTAATTATCTGTGTCTTTCTTGTGGATTCTAAAGTGCAGTAGAAAGTGAAGAATTAGAATTGGATGCAACCTTTGAATATGAAAACAGTTCCCTTTTCATTAACTTAATCAGTAATCCTTGTTGTTTTAAATGATATATGATTTTTCTGATCGCCTTAAGATCTCTCACAATACATAATATATTTATGTAGAGATGTTATGTTTGTTTTATGTTCAATTCAACGGTTCGGTTCCTTTTTTTTCATTAGTAAAAATTAGAGTTGACAATTATGAAGATAATCTATTATTTCACTTTTCCTTCTCAAAGAGGAGAATTTTCTTTTTAATATATAACTTCTTAGCTTTTGGTTATTATATTTTGTTTCATAATTTTCAAATGTCTTTAAAATATATATATATTAAAAAATTGGCGATTAAGATTAAAATTCATTTTAACTTGAAATCAAACAGAGAATTTGCATGCTAACATATATATCTTTGGATTGAATTCCCTCCCCCTTGAATTCAAAAAAAAAAAACAAAAACTTGAACTACATTGATAAAAGAGAGAATTTTTTTTTATTTTTCAAGATTAAAAAAAAAGGGAACAATAGTAGGGGTAAGCTAGGTGCTAACAATATTTTTCTTTTACTAAACTCGTCTTAGTTTAGGTAAAATGGTAGAGAAAAAAGTTTTATCATTATTTGTTTCACGCATGCTCGCATTATTTCTTAGCCTTCCATGATTCTTTTAAATTCATATCTTGAAGAATTCATCAATAATGCATCATAGTTTATGTGAAACTGCAACATCATTAGGAAAAAGAAAAGGAAAATGGGTGGATGTAAATGGCTTGGCTTTAATTGGGATGGGTTTGCTGATTGAATAGATTCAATGAAACTTGAAAGAGGAGCATATGCTTTGTTTACTTTCGTTTCTATTTCTTTATAATTGTAAAATTATATAGTTGCGCACCCATGCATTTAAAAAAGATAAAACAATATTTTTATTTATGTTTTGGGAATAAATTGAAAACAATAACAAAAGTAAGAAATTTGTTTGATTGTTTTTAAAATTTATAAATTATTTTGAGAATATTTTTAAAAAAAAGTAGAAATAATAAACATCAAGTGCAACAAGTAACGAAACGGGGTCGAAACAATAGGATTGAGACTTGTTGTCTGAAACCATAAACCATTGGGCCAGGAAAATGACATTGGGCCCGAAATCTTGTTGGGCCCTCCAAGACCAGGCCTTATTTCCCATTCACGAAATCGGATAAGACTGATTTGAAATAAAGAAAGAAATACGATAAACACCAACTACAATCCAAATCCGCAACAAAACAAAACAATGCAATAAATATTCTACACTAAACCTAATATTTTCATTAACAAAAGTTCAATTACAAAATTAGTAAATTTAATGATAGTGGTCGGTTGGTTAATCTCTAAATTTAGCAAAATTTTAATTAAGAACTTTGAACTCCGGATTCATTCCATTAAATATCGGTGGTTAATCTATTAGTGTAAAAGTCTTCTTTCTCGGTTTAACTCTCATTTTAATTCATCTACTCCAACTCTCAAAATTAAAAAGAAAAAGAAGAAAAAATAAATAAATAAATGTGGGGCTAAAGTGGGGAGGGGGTTTTGAGAAGTTAAGAGTACCGAGGCACTGAGGGTGTCCCCCATTAGCATTACCATTGATAGCTCACATCCACATGCTCTTACCGAACATAATTAGAATTTTATATTTTTATTAAAGTAATGATTTAGTCCTTCAACCTTTAAAAATGACGATTTAGTCAATATATTTTAAAATTAATAAGGATTTAAATACTGTACAAATAACCCTTTAATTTATCCACATAAATCTTAGGTGGTAGCCACATAATATTTTTGTTGAATATTAACGGAATGTTTAATGATAGGAACTAAATTCTTACCATCTTAAAGTATCAAATGTATTTTTTAACCAAGATTATATTTCCAACCAAGATGTCATACCTTCAAACTTCCACCTTCACATGTTGCTAAAAAAAAATCCAAACATTATTTATCTTTCCCCTTTTTGTTACTTCACTTTTGTCTTCTTCTTGTTATTAATATTCATAGGTTCCATCTCAAAATAAATTGCCAATTAGATGAGTAGTTCATAGCTATTATAAACTTAAGAGTGTGGCTCTTTTGACTCATTGGTTTTGGCCAAATCTCATTTTTTGAGTAGAATATCAAACTTTTAATCTTCACTTAACTTAACTTAAGGTTGTGGCTCTTATGGCTTATTGATTTTGGCCGATCTCGTTGTTTTAGTAGAATATCAAACCTTCAATCTCCTCTCAGAAAAAATTATGTGTATCTTATTTATTGGATTTGATTGACTTCTCTTAGTTGTTTTTTATTTATAATTTTATATTTAATATTTCCATGTCCTCAATATATTTTATTAAATATAAAATATTTCAAATTTTAATTAGTTTATCAAGACGAATCATCCATTTTTTCAAGGTAACCTGCTCTTGTTCAGGTCCCTTGAGTGCTGCAGATGGTACTCGTGATGCTGGCGTCATCCAAAGATGTATATTCCCATTATACATATGTCAATGTGTGAATTGTCTATACCTACTTCTTTTTTAAAAATTGAAGGTTAAATTTTTATCTTAATACTAATGTACTAAAATAATTTCTAATTTTATTAAATTAGACCAAAAACTTAAATAAATACGGTAATTTGTGCTTTTATTTAGACTTTAATTAAATTCACCCCTAATTCCAAAGCAAATGAAAGTGAACATACTATAAGTTTTGCCAATAGTAATGAAAATGAACCTCTAACAAATTAATGAACCTCGTCAATTCTAGCAAACCAGTGTATATTATCTTGACCATTAAATAAATATCTTAAAACTTGCCAATTTTAACAAAAAAAAAATACTTGACTATTATCTATCTTTGAAATCTCTTAAAAATGGTAAATTTAAACCACTTCATTAAAAAAAACATATATAAATTATTAAATTGCACAATATCGTTCACTTACCATTTGCAGATATATATTAATAACTAAATTGAAAAAATTGATTTGTAAAGAAAAAAAGGAAGATTAAATGATTAGATTAAACTAAAATTTAAATATTTTGCTATTTTGAAGAGACTTGTTTAATTAAATTCATTATATCACATACAAAAATGAAAAAAAGTTTGACTTGGGTCAAATGGTAGTTTTTTTTACACATTTACGAAATATTTTGAATAAAACCCGCCGACATTCTGTATATGAACAGTAATTGTAAATGAAGTCAACAACAGCTTTATGGTCAAAAATATCCACAAATTTAAAGAGAGAGCCATCCAGACCAGATATATTCCTCCAATTTCTACGCCTCTACCAATTACGATAAGAAAATATTAAAAGTTACAATTAGTAATAACCTATATTTAACAATTAATAGAAAAGAATTTTAAAATATAAAAATAGCGGGTTGTCAAATTTTCAATATTAATCGAAAAAATAATAACAAAACATACCGCAGAGCTAAAAGGATTTACAAACACAAACTCCTTTTTTTTTAAATTCATCGAAATATCTCAATTTAGTATGTCTATTAATTTATCGTTTATCACTGGTAGATAAGTATAAAAATTCACCCTTTAAAGTTATCATATTTGTAAAAAGAATTTACGTGGCTATATTTGTAAATGTGGCGGGGTCTGTTACCCATTGTAATTTTATTTATTTTGTTATTCTTCCATGAAATTATATTTATTCATTTAAAGTAAATAATTAATACACGCATGTAATTGTGAAAGAAATTTTGGTTTTAAAATAATTTATTTGTAATTTTTTTATTTAATCAAATAAATTTTGGGAGCTACAGAGATTGAAGATATATTGAAGTATACTTGCTTTTGGATAATTTTAAAAACTATATTAGTAGTTAATTCTTAAAAAAATCATTAAAAAAGATGATAAAAAGAAGTATTTACATGAATGAAGGTGCAAACATGTATTTTAAAATATAGCTGATAATTAAAATTTTAATAACTCAAATCAAGTTTAAACTAAAATTAAATGTCATGCAAAAAATATTTAAAAAATAGATGTTAATTATGCTATATTTGTAAGATAAGAAAAGTTGTAACATTTCAAAAAAAATAGATGTTAAGTTTATGGTATGAATTGAAATTTCTCAAAAATCAAAACGATATGAAACATCCCTTTAACTATTTTTAAGTGAAAAAATATTTCTTTTAAGAAACATATTGAAATAACAGTGATTAAATTTTTAATAAGATAATTATACACGTGGGGAAGAATAATTCAGACAACGAAAAATAGAGTTTAAAAAATAATAATATTGATACTGATAGAGATGAAGACGAGACGTTGACAGAGCCCAATAAGGGCAGCATCAGCAAACCTCTCTCTCTCAAGTCTTATCTTAAATGGATAATAAATAATTACTTCTCCACCCAGCAATTTCTACACCATCTTACTTACAAGTTTACAATACAAATTTTGAAATTTGCCTCTTTACGACATCACATAACTTCTTTACCGATATTTTTCAAAAAAGTCAAATATATATATAAAAAGATGATTATAATGAATTTGATATAGAATTAAACTTCTTTCTGCATAATATTGTTCGAGAGTTAATTTTGAATGGAGACGAGTTCTTCTTTGTTCGATTTTCACTTTTCAAGATTCAAGTAACGTTTAGACAGAGGCATCACTACTTAGTCACTACGTTTTAAAATATTTTTTACTATCGATCACTTTTCAAAAACAAAATTAGATTTTTATAATTATTTTAAATTTACCTAGGT